GCGCAGACACCCCGTGATGATGCGGTATGTCTCATTAAGAGCTATATCCACCGTTTTAGCATGGTGAGATGTGTTCCACACCAGGCATGCATACTCAGCAGCATATCTAAGTGATTTTTACATTATAGATTTTAAATCATGAATTGGATGTTTAGATATATATTGATTGAATATGTTTTTTTTACAATTAAAGTTTTAACTAGGTTATGTGTTTTTAACTTTTTGGATAGGCTATATTTTAATATGATGTTTTTTCCTGCCTCAATCCATGGGGAAAAGTAGGTTACTATTGCTGCTGCTACTACTACTTCACCTGGTCATCTGATCATTTCATCATCATTCCATACACAGCCGAAAACACATACACACATACCAATCTTGCTTCAGCTGTTCTCAACATGCCCCATGACATGGAGAAGGCTGCAGTCATCATTTCCTAGTTCCTGGATCTATAGCACTAGGAAAACCTTTCAGCTGCAGCACTCCCTGGCTGAAAGGTAGTTTTCGGAGCTCACATTTTGTCAATATTGACTGTAAACATGAATCCAAAAAGTTATGAAACCAGACACCTGACAGATTAAAATAGGCAACTTTATTAATAATTTCATAATAGTTGTTTCTGGGCCCATTCAGACAGCCTCTTTACTGCTTTACTGCTTTACTGTTTACTGCAGTGATAGAAATTTGGGGACTGAAGGAAATTTTAATTGGGGGAAGCATTTTATAAGTGGCAATGCCCTCAAGCACCCCCACTGGTACCAGCTACATCTCTGTGCCACCACATGAAGCCCTTCTGAAATATTGTGGGTTCCAAAGAACTCAAGTAGGATATACCCAGATTATGCATTTTTCTGCTCTGATAATATCTGTAGAGGGTTATCTTTTAATGCTTGTGTAACATCTGTGATATTTTATGTACTGTGTACTGTGGTCACAGTCCAGAGGTCTAAGCACAACGGGTATATCTTTTCTGTTTATCTCCTCTCCAAAAGGAGCCCCCTGTGGTGCAGTGGGTTAAACCCCTGTGCTGGCAGGACTGAAGACCGACAGCTCGCAGGTTCGAATCCAGGGAGAGTGTGGATGAGCTCCCTCTATCAGCTCCAGCTCCTCATGCGGGGACATGAGAGAAGCCTCGCACAAGGGTGATAATAGTAGAACATATGATAACCATGGCGAAATGGGAAGAGGTCTGGTCAAAGAAATTAAAATACATATATGTGACTGAGATAAAAGAGAATTGATCCAAAATGTTCTACCTATGGTATCACACACCAGAGAAACTCGCTAGATATAGCAAGGGGAAAACAAACAAAAAATGCTGGAGATGTGAAAAGAAAACAGGCACATTTAGACATATGTGATGGGACTGTAGAGTTGTTAAAAATTCTGGAAAGGAATATATAAAAAGATCCGAGAAGTTCTCCAAATGCAATTTGAGTTCAAGCCGGAATATTTGCTACTGGGAATGACAGACTTTAAGTTAAACAGGAATGATGACAAGAACTTCTTTTATCTCACCACTGCAGCAAGAATCTGTATAGCCCTCCAGTGGAAAAGCAAAGAAATACCAACAATTAACTCCTGGATTGAGAAGACCATGGATATAATGAACTTGGACCTATTAACCCAAAAAGTATCCCAAAAAAGAGCACTATCCGACAAGACGAATTGGAAGAAATTCATCAACTTTTTGGAAAAAGAACAAATAAAAATTACTCTAAAACGGGAATAGAAGAAAGACCTTTCGGGCAAAGATAGAGTAGGTCTTAGACTAACCTTCAACGTAATATTAAAATGCAAAAGAAAGAAGATAAATGTTCACTTGAGGTATCTGGAAGTTAGAGGGAAAATGTTATGTTAGTTGTTTTACATGCTCTGTTATCAGTAAGATGTTATGCATATGTTTGTAATCATGTGTGTATACACATATATACACATGTATGCACGTGTATATGTACATATATATTTAAGTATATATATAAGTGTGTGTGTGTGTGTGTGTGTG